GAAGGAACTTAAATGATGCTCTTAATTAGACATGAAAGCATTAATATAAATTACATTTTATGTAAAGTTTACATTAAAAATATATGTACAATTTACATTTTACTGCTGTTTTTTTTAGTCTAGCATGGTATATAGTCTTTGATAAGCACTGACTTCTAGTATCCTGCCAGTGTGTTTAGACACAGTTGAGCAGAAGTGAAGTGGTACCAGGGCTCTGCCTCATGAGGAATTGGAACAGTCAAGAAGAGAGGTTTTCGTAATTTCCTTTGGAAGTAACAAATGAGTTGGTGGTTGCAAGCCAAGATCAAGCGATAGATGTTTTCCAGTGGGGACCGAGACTCTCAGAATCAAAGCAACAGGAGATGGGATGAAGGGAATTGACTCTACTAGTCCATGAGAAAAGGAATCGGAGGGAATTTAAGGTAGTGTTAACTAATTACTGTTAATTGAGAATGCTGAGGGAAATGAGAGGAGGAAGGAAGTACTGATAGCTGGCAAATACTGATCCTTGCGATTTTGGCTTAAAGGAAAAAGATGGTAGAAGAGCTGCTCCCGTGAGCTGAATTTATGACAATAAGAGCAAGGTTTTTACCCCTGGTGTAATTGTGGATGCAATCTTGTGTGTTCAAATGAGGCGCTAGCAGCTGATGCTCGTTTTGGGGTGAGTGGGTGGGAACCGTGTGCCTGGCTCTTCCTGACCCCGGCATTTTGTTAGAGCATAGAGATTCCGCTGTGCTGCTGAAAATTGCTGGAGCCCTTTGGAAATCCCCCTTAGAGGCCTGTTTGCAGTTTCCCTGTGTTAGAAGTTTGGGGTTAGAACTTCGTGACAGATCTGGCCATCTGGAGCTATGTGGCTGAAAAGGCCGTGCTGTAAAAAAGCAGAGCCTTCTTACTGAGCTAGGTGTGGGTGGCAGTTTGATTTCAAATTGCTTCTATACTTAAGTCTTAGCTAAATGAGAACTCCACTAAATATTTGTGTGTTTGTTGTGGTAGGAAAATGTCATCTTCTTTCACAAAAATCTAAAAATCAAAGGAGAGCTTATTATAAGGTATGGTAAATGACACTGCCGACACACTCGCCAGCTAATTCAGAACACATGGTTTATAACTGCTTTTTAAATACAAACTATTCTAAAATTTTACTGAGGCTCTGTAATTGTGAGGTGGCTCAAAGAGTGGTATGTGCTTTAAACCTATAGTTGCAAATGTTGAGTTTACAGAGCGGTGTTTCTTAATGTTGCTAAAAGGAAAAGAATAGAAGGATTCTTTGTGGTCTATGGATCATTAAAATATTTTAAACCAAAATGACCTTAAATGAAATGATTTTATATGTTTGTAACAAATAGGGAATAGCATGAAATTACATTTTCAGCACAAACAGAGTTTGAACCAAAAGACTCAAAGTTGTGGGTTTCGGTTTTTTTTTTTTTAATTGCAAAGATAAATGGCAGTAATAGGTAGGAGGGACTGTGAGGTGTAATGGTGTGCCATGAAAGTCAACATGACAAATGAATAGATCTGTCTTTTTCTTTGAGATAGATCTTTGCTCAGGCCCTGACATAAATGTGTCTAATGTTGTTTATGCAATGCCAGAAAGCAAAGAAATCTTAGTTATTTAAATACACTCTTGGTTATGCCTCCTCCAATTGAATTGTTGGAGCAGTGGTTGAAATGTCAGAGGTGAATTCTAGAACACTTCTACTAGGTAACTTTTGATAAGTACATACACAAAACTTCTTTTGAAATGAGTCAACTTATTTTTTCCTTTTGTCTGTAGTAGATAATAATTGATATACACGTAAAGTATTAGGCTTTGCTGGGTGGTGTAGAAGATTGGAGGAAAAGATAATGTATGCCAAGCGTCTCTGACGAGATTGGATAAAACCAAAACTGGATGAAATCCCACTCTTTTTTCCAACTTCAGAGGTCTCATTACAGTATTAGACTCTCAGTTTCTCTGCTGAGGGAGGAGAAAAAGCATGATTTGGTGTTTTTAACTATGCAGTGCAGGCAGAGTTAATAAATACATCAAGCAGTAAAATATATTTTGACAGGGGCTGTTAGGAAACTAAAATTCAGTGTATTAGAAAAGGTGAATGACTACTAAGCTGATTAACTTGTAACTCAGTATGTCAACAGAGAGAATACTTTCTCTGTGCTTGATGCTGACTTTGTCTTCCAGCATGAAACAACTGCCAAGAAAGTTGTTTCAACAGTGAAATACTAGTTGATGGCTGAGATTGTCTGAAGGACAGCAGGCACAGAATGAGCCATCCAGTCTGTAAGTTTGAAAAACATCTCAGAGTCTTACCATGCTGCTGAAAGCCAGTTTCCTGAACCAAACCCATGGAAGCCACAAAATTATTATTAACATTCTCTCACATGGCCCATGAATGCTCAGTGCAATTTTATTTCTTTCCTCTTCATCCTACTGCCTTTTTTTTTTCCTTGCAAAAAGGACTGTAATGTCTGCTGGAATAAGCTTTTCTGAGTGCCGTGCATTGTACTCTTCAATTTACAACTATATCTGCAGCAGCGTACAACAAATATTATTCATTTCCTAAATATGTCCTTTAAGAGAGTCTGGTAAAGTGTTATTGCTACTGTAGTTTGGATTCTGGACAGTAAAGTGGATGCCAGAAATTGTGTCATGGTCTCTCAGCAGCAGCAGACTATTTTTTTTTTTTTGCTAGTTCTCCAGCATGTTGGCCACATCACAAATTGACTTTGTTGTAATGCTAAAAACATTACAGCCTGCTACTTTCTCGTAAACACATTTTCACCTCCAGTTGAACTACTGAGTTCAAATGTTTCAATCACCATAGCAGTATTAAGTTTTGAGAGATCAGTCTTAATTTGAGTTCAATGGTATACGTATCAAAAGGAGTTAATGACCTTTGATCGTGGTTGTTAAGTGGATGGCCCGACCATCTGTGCAGGGAGAAGAATTGTAATTTAGTGCCTTAGACAATGTAAGTTGGCGAGAAAAGCAGCGAGAGAGACAGAGCCCTGGGTTGCCCATGCAGCTACCCAGGCAGGTGTGCTGCAGGGGACGGGAGGGACACAAAGAGGGGGGAATCAATGACATGAGCATCACTGGCAGGAACCAGGGAGGGAGGGGAAGGTGTGAATATTTAGCAGTACAGGAGCCGTAAGGCGTTTCATTTTCCTGTTTTCCAACCTTTTCAGAATACCACTCACTTGGTATGCTGGTCTCTTGCAGGATGACTGGGCTGGTAACGTGATGCAACCATAAAAACAAACTAGCAAACAAAACCAAAAACCAAATTAGCAAATATGAGATTAGTCTAATACTGCTGAGGGATGAGGAAGTATAAATGGTGTTGCACATGCATGTGATGATGAAAGTGGGGACAATATGACATGCTCTCAAACTTTTGGGGGGAGAGAAGCCAGAAGGAAGAACTGCCTGAGCTAAGGGACAGTGGTAGCAAAAAAGAAATAAGTATGAACTAATTTGAGTATATATAGGTTTAATACTTGAAGCTTTCAAGCTGCGGCAATAGGAGCCTCTAGAAAAGGCTCTGTGTGGCTCTTGCTACTTGCATTGTGTTGTCTGTGCTATCCCTAACTAGTTTTATGACACAGAGCTTGCTTATCTATAAGGGGCTGTGGTTGCCTGTGAAAGCACTATATGGCTATGTTATTCAAACAAAATACTTGATCTATTTGTAGTTATCAGCTAAATGCAAAGCTCCTGAACTGTCGTAGAATAAAGAATCAAGTTTCTAAAAGGTGCATTTAACCTGCAACAGTTATGAATTTTACGTTGACCTGAGAGTTCATTTCTTTTCTTCATACATGATTTGTTTACTGTAAATAATAAACAATGTCCACTTTTTAGTACATACAAACACTAAATATTTTACTAGGTGCAGTAATCTAACAAAGCTTTTAGTCTGTTGAATGGATACTTATTTCATGTAAAAAATATGCCATGTTTGGCTCTCAGATTTTTTTCTTTTAAGTTGTGTAATGCAAGTGTGCCTTTTCATTTGGATTTTGCTTTTATGTCCTTTTTCAGATACTACTTGCTTAAGTTTTTCCAAGGGGTTCTAATGCTCAGTTTCCAGAGTCCTTTATTCCATGAACTGAAATATGCAGCTGAAACAAAATCAATACTACTCTTTCTTTGTCTCAAAATTACTACTAAAGAAAACTAAATATAAGTAACACGTCTGCATTTCTCCAAAATACATGTTGCTGCATGGCAACAAAGCACCTCTGGATTCAAATTGCAGCCCAGTAGTTTCAGGGTCATGATGTTCTGAGCTCCATGGAACGACATTTTTGGTGCAGGAAAGCTGTTGATTCTTACGGTATTCTTTAATTTCACTACATGACATCACCCTTACTCAGTTAAGAACACACTTATTGGGAAACACTTCTGCGTATTTATGCAAAAGTCTAGCAACACCTGAATGCTTTAAATGGTCAATATTTTATAAGGTTCTGAGATTTCTTCATACTTTTCAGAGTAGAAATTGCAGCTTATGGTATTGTTAGTGCTCAGGATTCTCCTGTTTCCTTTTTCTTAAATGTCTTCGGACAGAACACATCCTGTTGATGCATTGACATTTTGTTCAATGAAGAATATGACATTTTGTTCAATGAAGAACGCTACGTAAATTTCCCTGAAATTTTGTGAATTTGTTTTGAGCTTGCTATCTTTAGAAAAACTTAAAGATTATGCTTGCTTGTTCCTGGAGAAAGTCAAAATAAGCCACTGAGGAAAAAGTATCCATTTTGCTTTTGTGGGTCTTTATAGTCTGAAAAGTGAACACTTCACCACTTTCAGAACGTTAGGACTTGGGTTCTTTTTGTTTCTGGTTTTTGGTTTTTGTTGTTTGTTTTTTTTTTTTTTTGTCCCCTGCCTGTATGTGAAGGACAGATTGTACTTATTTGTATTATTATATTATTTTATATATTATTTGTATTTGTTTCGTCTAATTCTCAATTGACTCTTTCTTACTTTGCAGCTTTGCTCTGTCAGATGAAGCGTACAGATCTTTAAGGGACCAGGACAAAGACCAGTGTATCCTTATTACAGGAGAGAGTGGAGCTGGAAAAACAGGTAACAAGCGGTTTTGATCTTACTCAAAAAGATTCAGACTTATTTGGAGTCTTGCAAAGTGATGCTAGGGTCTGTAAGAGTTGAGAGGTATCGATATCTTTTTGTGTCTGGCAGTTACAGAAAATGAATGCTGTCACACCTGTTGCTGTAGGTGTGAACTTACATAAACTACTGTTTTTTTGACATTGTCACCATGATGCAGCCCTACCGTGTGTTAATACAGTATCCTCATCAATAGGCAAAGTCATACTAAAGTAATGCTGGTTTGTGATAGAGTATTGCAAAGGCCAGAAGACTTTTAGCCTCTCCCTGTGGGAAACATGAAGACGGAGAAAACTGAATGCTCTTGGTCTTCTAGACTGGAAGACACTTTGCATGTCTCTTAATAAGTACATGCATTTAAACTGGATTATGCCATTTATCCAAGGAAAATAAATAGTAGTAGCTGATTACTTTGGAATTTCATCAGTCTTTGGCATGCTGTGCTCAGCTGCAATTGTAAGATTGGCTTGTGTACCAGAACACTGTTTCTCAGGCAAAGCTGAAATTGCCTTGAAAATGACTGCTAATTTTTAAACTGGAATGGTAGAAATCAAGTGAGGATTGCATAACTGCAAAATATTTTAGGTAGACCTTAAAAAAGAAAGAAGTCAGTTATTTTCTGAAATAACAATTTAAAACTGAGGTGACTTGCAAAAGACACAGCAGGTAGGAACGCATACATCTGTTTCCATGGAATTTAAGAGATTTTTTCCTTTGAATCTGAGAAAATATGGAGGCTTGTATGCTTATACTAAGCACAACATAAAGTGGGTAACAAGAAGTTGCTTTCCAAGCCTTTTGTGAAAATGTAAGGTGTAGCCTTCATCTTTGTTTTTCTTTTTCTGATTAATGGCATCCAATTGAGAGGTCTTGAAATCTTGTAATATAATCCTTTTTTTAAGTTCAATAACATGAAAACACATGTGTGCTCAGTAAAAGCATATATTAAAATAATCAAGTTCTTATTAATATTATTGTTAGGGATTCTGTCTAGGAGTTCAAACTTTAGAAAGGAGTTCTGTACTGGTATTGTTTAATGTCTTGATTTCCTCAGGAGTTGTGAATTATCAAGCACCTTATACAAGTGAGGTCCACCTTTTACTCATTTATTTATTCACTTGAAAGGTATACTAGTGGTTGAGTTTCTGAACTTCTGTATTTGTAGAGGATATTCTGGTAGATTCAGATTTGTATAGTGATTTTGACTGTTCTGTAATTTTCATAGCCATATGGGACATAATATGAATTACTCCTTTATAAAGGTAAGTACAGAATAACATAGGGTTTGAAATTCAAGCCAATAATTGACTTATAATCTGTGCTATTCTCTCTCTAACATTTGATGTAACTACTGTTGCTGAAATGGGGCTGTTAGCTGAGAAGTTATGTTTCCATTGGCGGGGGGGGGCGGGAAAGGAGGAAGTTCCTGGAGTTCCTGGAGTTGAGGAAACAAACTTGTTAGTACAGATCCTATATAACTCTGGGTTAGATTTTTGGTAGCCAGAACATTTGACATGTTTGGGCTGGAAGAATTGAAACTGAAATGTCATCAGTTGGGTTTTTTTGTTTACTTCCAATTTTGATCTTGCTTCACTGCATGTTTATATTGCTAATCGATAGTAACATTGTGCAAGAAAACATGGTACGTTACCAGAATGAGAGGTGTATTTAAATGTTTTTAGATGTTAAGATGATGATTCCCTTCCTGGTGCCTTTATTGGGCCAAACAGAGTTCCTGTTAAAAGAAAGGGCCTTTATTTTCTGTCAGTGATGTTCAAAGCCTATCTTGTGTGTTGTCTTAATGCATATTATTTTATAATACCTTATTTGTTGCTTCAGTGCTTTCCTCTCTCAGTGATTGAGTAGCTCTACTTAAAGATGTTTACTGTTTTAGGAAATATTTCAAATCAAATAATTTGGTAAGTCCAAGCTCTGAAGGGAACGGATTCTTAAAAATGAGAGCTGGGTTCGAGGTGCGATTAAAGGAGATGGGAGGCCTTATGGACACACCTATAGTTCTTGCTTCTTGCTTGCTTCCTGTGTTGCAGGTTTGCTCAGTTTTCTCTACAATATGGGATAGTAATTTAGTACTAGCAAACAAATTTGATTAAATAGGAAAGAATCAAAATCCAAGGGATAACTTCTTGTTTGTCAGTTCTTTCTTGAAATGAAACCCTTAAATTTGTAACAGATCTCTGAAGAACAAGTAATGGGTTTTTTATGACCACTGTGTTGAGTTGATAGGGATTCCAGCTGTTAGTAATTACATTGTATATCAGCTGATATTGCCTCAAATTTCACTATCTTGCATCATACTAAACATCACAGACTCTGTTTATAAACAGAATCCTCTTTCAGCTGCTCTTTGTCCTGACCAGAAAAAACATAAGGGTTGGATGGATTATTTAATATTTGTTTCTGTCTGTATATGGGTGATTGCCACCTATATGAACCCAGCTTTGAGAGTCCAAAAATTCTTCCAGACTTTGTTAAAAGTTTGTGCCTTCAAATTAGTTTCATTGTTTAAGTGAATGCTTCACTTTCTCTATTCATTATACTTTGAACCAGACTGCATAATGTTATGTGATGTTGAATTGCAGTTACTCATTTACTTGTAGAGTAGTTTACAGTTGTAATTACATGTGTATAGTGTTGTATGTTTACACTTGTGTTATTGTGTATCTGCTGATATAAACTGATTGAATTTTGCATCTTGGAACTGTTTGGGCCTATTTTTTCAGGCTAGATTAAAACATTTCCAACGTGTCAGCTAGGGATAATGTTCTTTCCTTACTGAATGCCGCTTACTGAGGCTAAATGAAAAAGTAGTGGGTAATGTGCCATATCCACTGGTGGCTTCTTGAGCTTGCGAGGGCTCTAGGTATTTAAGTCAATAGGGCTGCTGATGTAATGGCATGGGTCTCATAGCAGGATATGCTCCTTCCTCATTCCCAGAAGGTACAACAATGCAGAAGAAAACTGAAATGAAATGTGCTTACAGTTCCTGTCTGGCATAGTGAAAATGTGATGGAGATCAAGTCTGCAAATCATTTTATGGCCTATTTGCCAATACTTATCGCTGTTTTATTTTACTGTCCCCCCCACAGAGGCGAGCAAACTTGTCATGTCATATGTAGCTGCTGTGTGCGGAAAAGGGGCAGAGGTTAATCAAGTAAAAGAACAACTTTTGCAGTCAAATCCAGTTCTTGAAGGTAAGAATCTCATAGAGCATGTGTGAGTCTATTACCTCTGTGTGTATCAGCTTTCCTGCTGAGCTGGTTTGGAAAACTGTATCTGTTGTTGTTTCGTTGTTGTTTGGTGTCCAAAAGCATAGGACATGCTTTCCGTGAAGACAGCTGCAAGATTCTATTCAGTTACAGAGAGGTTTTATTGAGAATCTGGGGAACTACAGGCCTGTGAGCCTGACCTCAGTGCCGGGGAAGGTTATGGAGCAGATCATCCTGAGTGCCATCATGCGGCATGTACAGGACAACGAGGTGATCGGGCCCAGTCAGCATGGGTTTATGAAAGGCAGGTCCTGCTTGACTAACCTGATCTCCTTCTATCACAAGGTGAGCTGCTCAGTGGATGAGGGAAAGACTGTGGATGTTGTCTACCTGGACTTTAGTAAAGCCTTTGACACCGTTTCCCACAGCATTCTCCTGGAGAAACTGGCTGCTCATGGCTTGGACAGGTGTATGCTTCGCTGGGTAAAAAACTGGCTGGATGGCTGGGTCCAAAGAGTTGTGGTGAATGGAGTTCAATCCAGTTGGTGGCCGGTCACAAGTGGTGTTCCCCAGGACTCAGTACTGGAGCCAGTTCTGTTTAATGTCTTTGTCAATGATCTGGATGAGGGGATTGAGTGCACCCTCAGTAAGTTTGCAGACGACACCAAGCTGGGGGGGAGTGTTGATCTGCTGGAGGGTAGGAAGGCCCTCCAGACGGACCTGGACAGGCTGGATCCATGGGCTGAGCCAACTGTATGAGGTTCAACAAGGCTAAGTGCCGGGTCCTGCACTTGGGTCACAACAGCCCCATGCAAAGCTACAGGCTTGGGGAGGAGTGGCTGGAGAGCTGCCTGGCAGAAAAGGACCTGGGGGTGTTAGTCAACAGCTGGCTGAATATGAGCCAGCAGTGTGCTCAGGTGGCCAAGAGGACCAATAGCATCCTGGCTTGTATCAGAAATAGCGTGGCCAGCAGGACTACAGAAGTCGCCCTGTACTTGGCATTGGTGAGGCCACGCCTTGAATACTGTGTTCGGTTTTGGGCCCCTCACTACAAGAGGACATCGAGGTGCTGGAGCGTGTCCAGAGAAGGGCAACGAAGTTGGTGAAGGGTCTAGAGCACAAGTCTTATGGGGAGCGGCTGAGGGAGCTGGGTTTGTTTAGCCTGGAGAAGAGGAGGCTGAGGGGAGACCTTACCGCTCTCTACAGCTACCTGAAAGAAGGTTGCAGCAAGGTGGGGGTCAGTTTCTTTTCCCAAATAACAAGTGATAAGACAAGAGGAAATGGCCTCCAGTTGCGCCAGGGGAGTTTTAGATTGGATATTAGGAAAAACTTCTTCGCTGAAAGGGTTATTGAGTGCTGGAATGGGCTGCCCGGGGAAGTGGTTGAGTCTCTGTCCCGGAGGTATTTAAAAGATGTGTAGATGTGGTGCTTAGGGATATAGTTTAGTGGTGGACTTGGCAGTGTTATGTTTATGGTTGGACTCAATGATCTTAAAGATCTTTTCCAACCTAAATGATTCTATGAGAATAAAATTGTTTTCCTCATGAAGTGAGAGTTTAGGAAGTCAGGTCATATTTCCCAGACTCCTCCTGCTGCTCTCTGAGGGCGCACCCTTTCTTAACCCTGCCTTCATGACGCTTGGCTGTATTAAAAGACTTGATTTAACTTCAGTTCTGACCCTCTGATTCATTTCCTTCCAAATTATATTATTATAGTCTCTAATAAACAAGCAAGCCCTGTAAAGCATTATTTTTCTTTTAGAAAAAAAAAAAAAAAAAAAAAAAAACAAGTGAAGAAATGGATCTTGGAAAAAAACTAAGCTAATCCATATGCATGCCTGTTGTTCCCTGAGACTTACTGTTCCCTGAGTCTGGTGACACTGTTGGCCCATCTTCCTGACAACTGCCTTTCCTGCTGTCCCATGAAAGACTTTATTTTTTCATTATTCATTTTAATTTAAAGACGATGGCTGCCAGCAATAGGATCTTCATTTTTCCTGGAGATAGGATATATGATCCTCAAAGCTTGCAGTTTTGTCCCATTGTCTAATAATGGGACTTCCTTCAGAAGTGCCTTGGTTAGCACTGACTTATTTAGGTCTATTGTGTTGATTCCTGGCTCAGTCTTTCCCACAGTTCTCTAAGCTATTGTGGTGCCGAGACAAATTCTCATGACTGCTGTACAATAATTTGGCATTATGGCCAGATGATATGCAGTGTTTGTAAGACTGTTGAGTGTCAACATTTTATTTGTTGCCTAGCTATCTATACGTATATGCAAGGATTTGGAATCTATAGGGAGCAAGCACTCTACATATTATACAAGTGAGAAGTGGGGGGGGGGGGGATAAAAAAAAAGGAAGGGAATGCTAAAGTGGGCTGAGAGCGGTGGTGAACTGGATGGGTAAAATGTGGTTATTGACTCTACACAAACCAAAAATTGTAAGCAAAGACTTGTAAAGAAAGGATGAAATGCTAAAATCTAAGAATAATAAAAATGCTGGGTAAGTCTTTCTGTGATGATCAGATATGTTCCGCTTAAAGCTGAATGGAGGGACTGCAATCTTCCGCTGCTTTGGATTCACAGCCAAGAGCTGTGTTGCTTTTATCACCGTCCTGAAAGGCAGATTTCAGATGTAGACAGGAATAGTATGGGAAGTATGGAGGCTTTTCTTTCCAAAGCTAGGTTTCTCCTCAGGGACTGCCAAAAGTATTGGATTTCTTTGTTTGTGAATCTTTGCTTTAATGCAAGAGGAATCGAGTAAGCTTACAGAATTGTGCCTTATCATTTGAAGCTATTATTTGTTCTACTTGGTGTGGTGGTAACTGCCTATTTAGCTTTTTGGAAGGTAGGACACTGAATTATTCCATGAGGCTGCTGAGCAAGCCTGGCTGATTATATACATTTTAGACAGAAATTAAGCATTTGTGGTTAGATTTGTTTTTCTTTGGTTATGTAGTTCTGTTTCAGTCGAGCTGCAGTGCAAGAAAATGACATAAATGTTACATATGCATAATTTATCTTATGGGTTTTTTTTTTAAGTACAGTTGCTACTGTAAATTAACTTTTAGAAACAATGAACTTAAGGGAAAACTGAGGAATGTGTCTCATGCTTTATAATGGGACATTTGTGCTTGATTCTGTGCAGCTATAAATGACTCTACTGTTCAGCACTGTGTTTAAGAAAATGCAGCTCAGAGATTTGGTTGTTGAAAAGATGATTTATTGCAGGGCATAAAGATTTTAAAAACAATTCTTTCACTTATCCGTGGCCTTCAGGGGCAACAAACTTTTCCTTTTGGCTTCAGTTCTTTGATCAAGAATAAGTCTACTCATGCAAGTTTGTTGAAGCCTAAAAGCATGTACTTATTTCTGTCCAAAAAACATTGACTTGACTTGATCTTTTAAAATACATACGCTAAATAAATAAATACTGGGATAAATAAAGTCTCCTGTTGGAGTAGGAGTGCTATACGTAATAGTGCAGGGGATACTAGTGTTTGACTCGAGGTGCTTTGACACTGTGTGATGTTAAGAGCTTGAATTGTCCTCCAGTCTGAGTTCTTGTCCTGCCTATGTTCTAAGCTGGTGGCTGTCCATCTGAACATGGCCCTGGGAAGTCCTTTCTTGGAGAGTTTTCATTGCTAGAAAACTTGAGCTAAAGAAATTAAAACCAAGCTATTCAAAAAGCTAGTTTAGGTCAAGCTGAAGAGAGTGTTTTAAACTTTCTTTTTAAATCAGACTTACATCAGCCGATTAATATTCAGCTTAAGCTAGGATAAATGTGTTGGTATAGTGTGAATAAGTCAGTTTCAAAGCATTGATTAAACTGTCACACACAATTTTTAAGTGTCATTCTGTAATGTCTTCAGTTCTGGCCTCCATCTTTTACCATCTTCAGTTCTGGGAACTAAGATTCATTTCTTTCTCTGAACTGAAGAGAAAGAAGTATTTCCTATATTTAAAGTTATTTAGGTAATAAACATTTAGATTTGATGATTCAGACCCCAAGGATATATCCATCCAGGTGCAGTTTTGTCTTGGAACCATTTCCCCTTTTATGTTTTTCTTTCACTTTTTTAAATAAAGGAAGTGTTGAGATGAAACTGCTTTCGACTTCCATAGGTGTTTTCTCATGTGTGATCTTTTCTGTCCCACTCTGTCTATCCTCAGTGACTGATACTCGTGCAATGAACAGGGTGTTTTTTCTCAGAAGTCTGATTCCTTTAAGTATATAAACAGTCAGAGAGAGTTTAGCATTTAAATATATTTTTTACTGATAGAATTTGGCTATCATATTTGTTTTTCTCTTTCTCCAGCTTTTGGAAATGCTAAAACTGTGAGGAATGACAACTCCTCTAGATTTGTAAGTATTTTCTTCAAGGCCGAATTTTAATTTCTTTTAGGGAAGCGTGTTATGTTGTTGGCTGTTTCTCTTTTACCTTGTCTCGGCCATCAAGGCATCTGTAAGGAGGGAATGGATAATTTGGAGCGAGAACTTTCTTCTTGTCCGAGGACCGTGATGTTTGGAGAAGGCAAATACCTTCAGTAGCAATCAATATTTCATTTTGTACATTCGAGCATGTTCTCCTTCCCCGATGTGTTAGTAGTGCATTATTAGCAGTCACCCCTGTTTTTAAAAGATGTTTCAGCTCCTTGTCAGAAATATTATTTTCTGATGTGGGCATAGAGTTCTATGGAGAATCAAAGTAGAGGTTAAAAAAAAAAAAAAAAATTAGGATGTGACAGTCTGTGACCGGATGCAAACATAATTACAGCGCAGATGGATTCTTTAATTTTCTGGCACTGGTGGCTTTAATGTCAGTGACCTTGTGCCTAGCAACTGGTCTGCTTAGTAAGTTGATCCTTCTGCGTGATCTCATTTTCCATCTATATGTATACTTTTTTTTTTTGTTAAAATTTCTACTTCGGGCTCTCATTTTCCCTGTATGATGTTTCAACCTGTGTTTACAACTTTAGTTTTAATATAAACATTTGTAATGTTACTTTTTTGCTTGTATCCTTTATAATCAACTGATTGAATTTGGGGGTTTTTAGCGTGTAACAGAATGTGAAATTATAGGCATTGACAATTGCCAACAAAAAAAAAAAAAGTTGAAACTAGAGTTGGGAGATTCAGAAGTGTGAGTATTCATCATAGTTTCTCCTGCTAAAATCAGAAGACTGAATGCAACTTTGTAATTTGCTCACTTGTGTGCAGAAGAGTAATATAGAGTGAAATAGACAACAGAAGACAAATTCACACACTGGAAAAATGGTGTGTTGCAAGTAAAAGCACATGGATAAAAGCCTTGCAATATGGTGACACTTCTCATTCTCAGGGGTTGATGATATTGCTTCCACACAGCTACGAATGCTCCTTCTACAGCTGTCATTGCCCCTGCTTGTGAACAGAGCAAAGGGTCTTCATCGCAGGCCTTGCAGGCTCCACAAATGTCCATGCAAGCAAGGTCAGGGTCAAAATTTGAGGCGCTGTAGAAAATTTTTTTTTGTTTTATAGAAAGGGTAGAAAAACTGCAGCTGTCAGAGATGATGGACTACAGAAAGGAGGAGGAGACAGCGAAGAGAAGAGGTGCCATTTGCAAACAGAAGTCTTTCCAGGACAAAGTGCAACCAACTAGTATTTTGCCTTTCAAGTCCTTGCTTATAAACACAAAGCTAAAAACACTTTTGGAAACATCCAGCTGGCCCAGTCCTTGGGAAATTAAAATTTAATTATCTGTTTTATTTCTTTATCTCAGAAATTTGAATCAGCTCAAAATTAACTTCAAACAAGAAAGTACAAGTACTGTCCTGTCTCGCCTGCCTCAGCTGCTAACAAGGAGAAGAATAGAGCTTAAGTAGAGTCAAGCCAATCTTGACAAAATACCCAGTAAATTAGAAAATATCTTTGAGGGAGTCAATGTAAAGTGCTTGGGTTTTATGTTCTATAATTAAAATCAAGAGAAAAAAAAAAGAAACGTCTTCCTAAATGCAGTGAACAAGGAAGTATAAACACCAGGATTCTCTTCTCAATAGGTTATTTTTGTCCCCTGTTAAGTAAGCACCAGAGGGTGGTGAGATCATTTCTGTGTGTGGCTTGTGGAATTTGGTTGAATTACTACCAGCAGTTTTCATCTTTTTAAACTTCCTTGCCAGTGTGAGCTGTGCTCCTTTTGCCTTTTCTGCACAGTACGGGTCTGTCCATTTTGTCACTGTTAAACGTAACTGTTAGTACATTAAACACTTGTCATATAAATTAAAATGATGCAAAGACCAGAGTGATCTTCTGCGATGTGGAAAAGTCAAACAGAAGTCAAGGAAACACACTGCGCTCGTACAGCTAAAAATGAAATCGCTTTTGCGGTGACAGTCTGTTAATTGTTGCCTCTGGTCTCCTGAGTTACGAGGCAAAGAGTTCAGTGGGAAAAATCCATCACTTTTACAAGGCAGGCACACGCTTAGGGACAGACACCCCATGATTACTAACAGTAATCGTTGCCAGCCAGTCCTTCAAGCCAAACTGAGAGACTATCCTTCAACTGCCTTGATTCACGCTCCGAGAAGGTTTTACACTGAGAAAGTAAGTCTGCAGGGAAGATAATTTCTTCCTGCATTCTTCCGTTAATAAGCATGGTAATACCCACATGGCCACAAGTATTGTTTGGTGTTCTTGGTGTTCTGGTGAAAGTTTGTATAATGTGCTTTTTCTTTATATAACCTTAGAAACTGAGCAAATTACTGGGTTGCATTACAAACCTGATTAAAGCTGTTGTCATGAAAATCTCTGGCTGTGATAATGCAATTGTCTTAGAAGCTTTGAATCATTTTCTGTTTTTCAGAATTTCACGGAGTGTACAGGAGGTTGCCAGATTGCTCTTTTAGCCTGTAAACATGACCAACTAACTCTTAAAAAAAAATGTCTTGAGCAGTTTTTCTTAAACAAAACTTACAGTCTTAAAACATGTTGCTTTCACAGGGAAAGTACATGGATATTGAGTTTGATTTCAAGGGTGACCCACTTGGAGGAGTTATAAGCAACTGTGAGTATTACTCTTCGTATCAGCATATTAACAGCTTGAAATGTTTTGTTCAAAACGGAAGGTGGTTAAATTATTGAAAAGTTCAGCTGCATTTGTCTAATTGAATCTCTCTCCATTATGTGATAAATTCTGCTTTTTAATTTTATTGTTGTTTTGGTGCTGAGTAGTGTACCTTAGAGTAAGTGAAAACAGACTTGAAGAAGTAAGCATGAATAAAGAATGTACTGTATTGTTTAAAGGTGCTGAGTAACGTGCATGGGTTCATATATTGTCTCTGAAGCTGGTAGCAGATGGATAAGGGTATCTGAGGGTCTTTTTATACTTGAATCCCTGGGATCAGTTGTGTTATTTGATTTGATGGGTCATGTGTTTGTGGTAGATTATGTCTGAGATATGCTGTTTTTGTAAAAAAAAGTATGCTGGAGAACACCATGAGGTGGGTGTGTTTATTTGGAATCAAAGTGTTCTGTACTAATTTGAACACACCTCACAGTGTAGGAAAAGGCTTATCGTGAGAGAGGATGAACAGCTGTTGAGTTTCAGGAGGGAAACGTGGTCTCACAGGTTGTTACTTGACGTGAGGGTGCTGCTACGAAATCTATAGAAATTCAGAAATTTTAACCAGCTCTCTGTTGGGAAGAAAGAGGCTGGGAACTGAATGCGAGCCCAGGATGTTTTGACTTGCTTTCCTTTCAAGAGTTTAAATGCAGCTTTTAAAAGAAATTGCTCTTCTGTGCTATATAAAGCTATGTTTGTTTTTCTTATTTTTGAAAAGGGATGGAGGAGAGCGGTGAGTGACTATAGTAGGTGTCACTGACCTAGCCTTGACCTCTCTTCCCACTCAGCCAAATTCATCTCGGTTTCTAAAGACTGACTTTTGACTCCGTTGGCATTTTACTGGTTGTGAAATAATGAGAATCATCCAAGGGGTACTGAACTCTCCATATATAATACAAAGATTTTTAAACCTTTTGAAGAATTTTATGCATAAATATAGGTTTTGTTTTTTTTTCATAGGTCAAACATTTTTTTTCTGGACCAGGTCACCTTTTGGCACTGTGCCTGAAAGAGCATGATTTTTGGGACAGAGTACATCTTGAAACTCAAAGCAGTCACTGTTTAAGTGTTTACGGCTATCTAACAACTTTGACATTTGGCAGTCAATGAAATTAGAGGCCAAACATACTCAGTGTATTCATCAATAATTGAATGTGAACAAAAAGGTTCTGGCAGGCTAGCTGTGTTGTTTGTTTCTTTTTATTTCACATTCAAAATAGGTACATAAAAATGAACACTCCTTTGTAGAGTGGCCATTCAACAGTTTGTCTTTGAAAGTACTGCACTGAGTCATCTCATTAAAATATTGTGTCATATCAAAAGGCGATTCAAATAGTTATGCTATAGTTTATCTGCCTTACAAATCTTTGCATGTTGTAATTATTACATGTAATTATGATGTGATGATATATGTAATCAAGGGCAGATGTATTTTTAAAGCTTCCTAAAAAATGCCTATTTTAGGCATTCTCCCTGTCTTCTCACATTTAATAAATATCTAATAGCAAGAAGATGAATTTAAATTTAAAAATAAAGGCCTTATGTGTAAGCCCTGTTGTGGAAAAGATGTTACTTGTTGAATTATGAAACACCCCATACTTGACAGGATATGTCACAGGTAAATACTGAATTCTTGGAGCTGCGTGTTAATGTATCTCATCTTTGATTTAATGTTTGCAAAATCTGATCGTCCATCCATCTCTTTTTAAAAGAGAGTTTGAATTCTGTAGAGTTTTAGAGCAAGTTTGTTGTCCTGCCTCAGATCTTTTCCACATGACTCCAGCATTGCATTAGAACAGAAATGTTTCTGTTGTGAGGTATCACCATTCTGGAGGTATCGGGGGCTTAAATTCTTTTACACCACTTACAGTTTACTCTGGTTTTAGTCAAATTTAGGATTTGCCTTCTTAATTCATCAAGTAGGAAGTCAAGTAGTGCTGAAGTTTCCTATCCTTAAAAGGGAAAGTATGATTAGTTTGGTCATAAATATTCTTCGCTTTCTGACCATCTGTTGGTTCGGTGTTAACATGATGTGAAGATGATATCATAATATTTTGATTAAGCTTTAATAGTTGTATGTGATGAGCTTGATTTCCAAACATCAGTGAAGTTAGTGGGCTTTTTGGATCGTAGCCTATGTCACCAAGCTGTATTTCATGCTGTGAGTGGCTGGAAGCAGACATGGTGAACATCTAGTTTATTTTGGTGGCAAGAAGGGTAATGAAGATAAGCTACTAATTTTATCAGACTGGTAAAGATAGGCAGAGACCCATTAACCTAAAAGGTCTTGTTTGAAATGGTCTGGTCTGTCCTATTCTGAAATGCTGTGAAGCTCTGTGAAAAGCTAGTCAATCTGCCCGTGACCCTTCATGTAGCGGCTGATGGCTATTGTGATCTTCCCTTGGGCCATTCTCCTGGTGCCCTTCAGTGACCCCTTACTTCTTAATGACAGGGGTTCGCCTACAAGTGAACCTTTCACGGGATGGAGCTAGAGGGTAAAATTATCATGACAATGCATACTGCATGTTTGTCCTGTCCAGTTTGCAGTTTATGGGCTTTAGCAGGAGCTGATAGATCTGAAATGTCTAATGTGCCGTAAACGGAAGGGTAAATCTTTTAAGTAAAATTAGAATGGAAATAATAAAACGGAAGGGATTGTGATGAAAGAGATTTGTAACATCTATTAAGTCAGAACTGGTACGTTCCCAAACTGAAAATAATTTTATGTTCGAACAGTGTAACATACTTATAGACTTATTACATGTACATTATATGGCTTCTGAGTGCACTGATTTGTAAGGCATTTTGACATATTGCTGTGTCATGGTGTACAGTCATAAAAAGAAACTGAGAGTGCAAAATTTGAGATGAACAGGATTTATGCAATCTTTATTACTTCAGTCAGGAATTTTTTCCCCTTAGAATACAAAAGAAAAATTATTTCAGGTAGCATGTGTTGTACTTGTTTGGTCCAATGTCGGCAGCAACTGAGGCATGGGGGGGGGTGAGCAGGAAAGTGAAGAAGGCTGAGTAAGCTGAGGTATGTGGTAAGCCTGAGTCTTTGAATCCTCCCTTTTGGTTAGTTTTCTGTGAAGGTCCCACCTTGTTTTCCTAACAGGTGGGAGATGCTGGAATCTGTGTAAGGTGAGGTGCACAGCCCTAGTACTAGCTAACAGCCAGCCCACCATTCACGGGCTGACCTGTTTCACGTGCATGGGGTTAGGAAGCCCAAATTACTCTTGTGAGCTCTCTTGAACACTAAACCCTTGCTGTATTGTCGTAAATATCCCATTGGGGTTTTGTAACAAACATCAGTCCCTGCTTAAAGGTATGCTGCTGCTCTAAAACGCATTTACAAACAGGTAAACTGCATTTACATTTTCTCTCACTGAATTGAGTATGAGGTGTATCTGCTCTTTCTGTCCTCCCACGGGATGTTGACGGTTGCTGCTGTTGCAGTGATGGCTCTTGTTAGTGCTTATGTGCTCAGAGGTTTTTTTCCAAAGCGCTTGTGAAGAAAGGCAGTTGGAGTGTTGGGTAAGTAACTTGCTTTCACCTGAGTGTAGTACTGTGGAAATACATTACAGAAACCATCAATGCTGTTCTTAATTTTCAATTTATTATACCTACCATGTTAGTGGGGATGGGAGCAGAAGAAAGGAGAATAGTAGTTTCTTTTCCACCTGTAATTACAGAATAAAATATATTTTATGTAAAAATGGGTACATTTGTTTTCAAAGTAATAGGTGCTAATTGCAATTGCTCGTACAGCTTTAAAATATGACACTCTATCCACAGATGCGCTGTCTGTTTTGTACTCAAGGCGATGTTTGTGTGCACACTTGGTTCATTAGTTTTGTCACCGGTTTTGTGTACACTTAATTTTATGGTTGAAATAATTTTGCATGGTACGGTCTGAAATGTTTCACACTTGCGGTTGTTTAGACCTTTTCAAAAGCAGGGATCTCGTGATATCTTTCCCAGAATATTTGTAAGTCTTAATTTTTCACATTTCATCTGGGATTTCCTGCTCAAAGTTACCTAACTTTTTAGCTTTAGGTGATCTTTCCTAATCTGCCTAAGCCCTTCAGTGATTTAATGATTAGCTAGAAGATAACAGTGGTGCAGGTGAAGTACAGCATAAGTAATGCCTGCTTTTGAAAAGCCATTTTTAACCAGCAGAGTGTACTTAAAGTCCAAATAACACGTGACTAAGAAAGGGCCCTGTTTTGCCATTTTTCCACCAACAACATGAAAGAAACCTATGATGCTTATCTAAAGCAACAACTTTAAGTTCGCAAAGTGATAGTGATAACTTCACAACTTATTTTTCTTTACAGCTTGTTTGTTCATTTTAAAAGACAAAAGTAATTACCCACTTACTGAGAAACCCAGCAACTCAGGCTGTTGATTTTAGTTATGTGATTGCTATTAGTAATCTCTTTTGCTCAGGGAAATATGATACAAATTTTACAACTAGACATTTTGGAAAGAGATACTCATTCTTGTTAATTTTTTTTTTTAAATCTTAACTTGTTCCAACATCTCCCTTGGTGTTTCAGTTAGCACAGTTGCCACCTTTTAGGCAATTGTCTTGCCTGAATTAGGAAGTGTTGAAAAAAAAAAAAAAACCAACCAGCCAGCCAACCAACACCAAACAATGCTGAACATTTTGATTAGCTCATTTTTAAACTTCACGTATCACTTGAGTAATCAGGATTTAAGACTCTTAAAATTGTGCAATCATTTTTTTTTCACTGCACATACTGCCCAGAGAGTAGGTTTTGTTTGATACAATTATGGATGATTTCATTCAAGAGAACATTATTATAAACTTGGTGGGAATAATGTGAAAAAGTTCCTGAGAAAGCACTACTGTATTTTCTTTTTAATCAGTGACATTTTTTGATGACAGCCGAAGAATCAAGGTAGGGAAACAGAAAACATAATTTAACATAATGTGGGTGTAGAGATAAGCTTCCATGACTAGAAAATGTTCTGTAACTTTGACTGAATAGCTAAAAAGGTCCTTGGTCATGGCTGGCTGAAGAGAATATGACTAAAACAAACTTTTTCTGCATTATTCAGAATGTGCGAAGGTAGTGTTGGTTTTGTCTGTAGTGTTTACTTATTCCTCTCTTGAATGTTGATTCAATCTCTAGTATGTTTAGAGAAATACAAATATCCTAAAATTTTCTGCATCAGTCAAGTTCATGGGTCAAGTAACTGAAAAGAAATCATGTAAATTTGTACATTAGAGTTTCCAGAGGTAATCAGCGTCAATTTCTTTTTTTTCTTTCATGTTGAGTTCAGTCGAGTGGTTTAGCAGGATGTGTACACAGATCTCTTGCATTCAAACCAGTGCCATCTAGGAATAACAAATAATCTTCAGAACCTGAGGGGTGTAGCTGGATTGAGTCGTCTGAATCAATGGATATTCAAACAGTATGATTTAAGAAGTATTTCCAAATTGGACCTTTCCAAAGCAATTTAATTTTTACAGTTGCTTTGATACACACAACACATTAAATGTTTCAGTTCAAGCAGAAGCAGTGTTAGTGCAGAATCCATAAATACGCCATATGTGGTTCTGTATGTTTTCTCTAGATAATTCTGCATAGTGCCTATACATAATTTATATAGAATATATAATAAAATGTAATATGTATAGAGTTTGGGAGTTTTTGCTTGTGTGTGTTTTCATATAGATAAGCGCTATCTGTCCACACATGCCACTGTAAACAGAATTGCCAAGTGGGTGCATGCAGAAATCTGATGTGCATCTTTGTGTCTTCTCTTTTAACTGTTCAATCCACAGAATTTGTAATCATGTGAGAGTTAACACAAAAGTTACTCGTTGTGCAGTAGTTGCTTTAAGGAAAATATATTTGGTTGATTTATTAAAATGCTAATTAGGGCAAACAAAGGGAAGAAGTTTTCTTAAGAGTAGGGCAGATGGTCTGGATCTTTTCTACCAGTCTGATTGCAGTCTGCAGAGAATGAATACAGCTTTAAAAAGAGTTGCTAACAGCTGCTTTGCTAAGGTAAATACCTGATTTTCTGTCAGTAAGTGCTTTCTGGAGCCTTTTTCCTCAATTATGAAGGCTGACAGAATATGGAGTATTGGGACTTTGGAAAGCTGACTGCTAATTAGTTAACCTCCTTGCTTCTAAAAACATAAATAAGATGAACTGTGGTGAAAAATCCAAGACGGTTATCCTTCTAACATAACTCATTTGACATATGCTCAAGACGCTGTTTGTTAATTCTGCTGAAGGCATGCATGTAATTAAAAGAAGGTTTACATGTAATATTTTGCCAGGATACGTAGCTGAGCTTTTATGACAGCATTTGACTAAATTTATATATAGAATGTTTTTAAACCCAAATAAGCCAAACCGCTTCACAAACTGCATTACTTCTACATCCTTTGAAAATACAGCTGTTTCCTGAAGTGTGTGTAGCCACCGCGGGAGCTGAAGTTGTTTGTTTCTTTGAGATTAAATTTGGCTGCGATCTGTTCCAACGCTTCACTGGAGAACCTTCACAGCCAGCATGACTCTGAAATGCCGGGCACTCATCTTGCCTTTCTCAGCCCAAGTATTAACACTTGGATGGTGGACCAGCCTCTCCCTTTCAGTTATGAATTAAAAACTAGAGAGGATCAGGTATCTGATAGTTAGGCTAACTAACTGGATAGTTAGGATGAACCACAGCTCAAGGAGGGGAGCCCCAACCTTAGGTGAAGTCAGAGGTATTGAGGTTGTACACTAGGCTGCTGGTGAGAACTACATCTCCTGATCTGTGCCTTTCCAACATAGCATCAACCATCAGATGTTAGTCATCTGTGATTTAAAAAAAAAAAAAAAAAAAAAAAAAAAAAAAAGAAAAGGAAAAAAAAAAAAGGTACGAACAAAATGGAAAAAGCAGAAGTGGAAATCTGTAACCAGGGCAGAGACTCCCTCTCGGGCTAAGCCCTGGCATGCCAGAAAGCCGGCGGAGCCTGGGGGCTGCAGCCTGGCACGGAGACATCCGCTCCCCAGCTGCTCCTCCGTGGCGGGGCTGGAGGGGGGTTTGCAGCACAAAGGTGGCTGCACTGAGCGCCGTCTCTAACTTTCCGGATTGCTAAGACTAAACAGGCTCAGTTTCAGCAGAAATGGAAGTCTGAGGAAAGGTATGGTAGAATACCCGTTGGATATTATAGTAGCCAGGCAGGGGAAGTGTTTAGCAACCCCACATGCCCTTAAATGAATTGGTGTTCCCTGCGTTTCACCTTTGTGAAACCTCATCTCAACTTTGTGGCAGCTCTTCTGAAGAGTCACATCCAAGCTGGGGCAATTTCCCTTTTGGGGCTTTCTTCTTGCATGGGCACAGCTTAGAGAGAACTTAACCCCAGTCAGAGAGCGCTGTGGTGGGTAGGTAGTGGTGGGTGCATGGGGGAACTCCTTTGCTGTGCACTTGGAATGAGGCACTGAATGTCTTCGTGTCGCTGAATATATGTAGCTTAAGAGAAGCTGTATACTGGGAACTGTGGGTTCGCTATCTGGAAAAATGGTGTGGAGCCCTCATGTGCCAGTAATAAAAGGAGGAAAAACTTTTTTTTTGTACAAAAACAGCGAGTAACACAGATACCTGTCCAGAGGTTTTCTTATCGCATCCCTCTCTTGTTGCGCTGGGGACCACAGCCTTTCAGTGCAGTACAGGCTGAACAACCTTTCTATTGTCACCTCCATGGTAAATGTGATGTAGAGTCTGAAGTGTTTGCAATGTGTTACAAGTTAGTCTGCTTCTGCTGTCTGCCTGGATTCCTACCTTTATTGGTAAGGCTTAGAAATGTGCCCGTCACTAACGGCGGTGGACGAAGTAATCTTCTTGTCAAACTACTCAATCAGTGCAGTGATGCTTTTCAAAGTGCTGCTTTTCCATTTCACTTTAAGTGTCTTATGGTGGAGCTTCTGTCAGTTCCATTGGGAATTATTTCATAGTCTGATGCACCTGAGGATCACAAAGTGCTACGTGATTATTCAGTTTAAAATCTTTCTTTATTTGGCTTTCCCCTTTCATTTACCTATCTTTCATGTGCTTAGCCTGCTAACATTTCAGTTCTTTTCAAACCTTCACCCATACGGTCATTCTCACCAAATCTTGATTTTGTGGTGGTAACGTAAATCGATTGACATCGTTTGAGCACAGTGCCTCCCTGACCCGAGTTTTCTTTGCAGCTCATAGACTGCAGCATTTAGAAGTGTACTGGGCTTACAGCTTGCTCAAATAACTTCTTTGAGAAATATGTACTAATTTCATAAATTGTGATAAGGTTTGTGCCTATGATTTATCATCTTCTAATTTGCTGCTGATGATATAAAGCAATGAAGTAGAAAACAGTGGGGGATTATATTCATATTAAGGGGTTTTGCTCTAACAATCTCTCCCTGACCTGTGAGATTTTGTTTGTTTGTTTGTTTAGATCTGCTAGAGAAGTCTCGTGTTGTTAAGCAGCCAAGAGGTGAAAGAAACTTTCACATTTTCTATCAGATACTGTCTGGTGCATCAGAAGACTTCCTCTGTAAGTGTTGCCCTTGTGCCATTTTCAGATATGAGTCGTCTTTATATTTAATGTGCTGTTCCACGCACATCTTCCTTTGTGGGAAATGTGGGTTTGTTTTTTTTTAATTTCTCAAATTTTTCAAATTATTGGTGGTAGTGGCAATGGTAATACCTGAAGTAAATATATAGCTTGGTATTATCCAGATATCTGAGTCAGCATTGGCTTTGCAATATATTATAAACAAAGAAGAAAGTCTGCTCTTATTCAGAAGGCTTGTAATTAAAAGATCCTTAAAGAAAACCTAATCCTACTAATAATAACAACAGTTCTTGACAATACCGGTTCAGGGATAAAAGGGCTACTAACAAGAATGCTGTTACTCATGATATTTTTATTTGATTTATTAGGCAAACTCAAACTGGAGCGGGACTTCAGCAGATACAACTACCTGGGCCTTGATTCTGCCAAAGTGAATGGAGTGGATGATGCTGCAAACTTCAGAACAGTTAGGGTAAGATGTAACAGGGGCTGAGTGTAACCCCTGAAGGGGTCGACACTAATGCAGAGTTCTTATGCCCTTGGTCCCGCTGTTTGCTCTGGGCTGGGCTGGGAGGGACGTCTTTTCTGAATGCTCACACTCTTCATGCAAGTGTGTAGTGTGTTTGCACAGGGAAGCTTAGCTACAACTAGAAAATACAAAGAACCAAGTTTCTGGAGTATTCTAGTGGGAACACAAAAAAGACCGAAAAAAAGAAAAGGAAAGAAAAAAAAGGAAGAGGGGGAAGAAAAAAAAAAAGCCAAGACCCCTTGATCAGATCGTGGAAAAGGTTATATTGTATAGTTGCTTATTATGGCAATGACTGAGCTTCACGAACCGGGTGATGCTGACAAAGTCAAAAGAATAACAGGGTTGGGATGGTTCTCAAGATGACTTACCGTGATGTTTTTGCTTGATTATACTCAGGGACAAGAATAATACAGGACCCTGTTACCCAGTGTATGCAAATTTGGATTCTAAAAGTTACTGGCTTTTAGAGCAACAGAGTGGACTGAGAAGACAGCAGTATCTGTTCATTTGACTGTGAAAAATTGCGTTGGGTTATAAACTAAATTAAGTGGCTAAAAAGAAAGTACTGCATTTTAGAAACCCATAAACTGAATTAAATGCTAGAAGTGGCCTGGACTGACATGTCAGCTCAATTACTAGATCTTCTTTAACCTGTCTTTCATATTAAAAAACTTACTTATCTAATGCTAATACAGATAAATGGTGAATTTTGCAAGTATGATCTGTTTTAAATGTAGATTCTTTTATCTCATAATTTTATCTGTCCCCTTTCCAGAATGCAATGCAGATTGTTGGGTTTATGGATCATGAAACACAGTCTGTTTTTGAAGTGGTGGCAGCCGTTCTGAAATTGGGAAATATTGAATTTAAGCCTGAATCTCGTGTGAATGGCCTAGATGAAAGTAAAATCAAAGATAAAAACGGTAAGATGAGATTAGTGATGGAAGGAAAAACACTAATTTGTCTGAAGTCATTCTTAATTTTGTAGTTTCTGTAGACATACAATATCCTTACAGATGGATTAAATGAGGTTGTTTCCAAAACTCACCCGCAGGCAAATATAGGTTGAATTCTGTGCTATTTCAATAGCTCTGTTTGAAATTCCAAAAATGATTATTTTCTTTTTTTCCACTTTATTAACACTTTCTTCTGAAATGTTAAATGGTGCTATGTGTTTCTGTAACTGCTTGGTTATTCTGCAATGGAGGCTTTTTGTTCTTCTGTAGTAGGGCATCTCAGCCTGTAATGTCAGATTCATTTGGTCATGTTTTTGCATCTGATACATTTTTAAAGTTCATGTATTTTCATTTGAAAGTTTTTCATCATGAAAAGTAGTCCGTGATAAATGGAAGAAAAGTTTCTTCACAGAAATAACCAGATAGAAAGTGCTTTCAAAACCAATAATTTGGTTTCCTCATGCTGTGCATGTTTTTAAAAACTTTGCTTGGCAGGGTAAGGGAGGGAGAGTGTGGATGGGGACCACTTCTGTTGAAGAAAACCTGTTTTGGGGAAATACTGAACTACTTAAAAGCTAATAGTTTTGGGGAAGAAAAAGCAACGATACGAAAGGGTTTATTATATTTACACTCTGCTTTTTCACGCTAGAACTCAAGGAAATCTGTGAGTTGACAGGTATAGATCAGTCTGTATTGGAAAGAGCTTTCAGCTTCCGGACGGTTGAAGCCAAGCAAGAGAAAGTTTCAACAACACTAAATGTGGCTCAGGTAAAAAGAGGTCCTAATTCTAAAGGAAAGAATCGTTTTAAATGGCAATTTATTCTACTTTACTAAACCATAACTGCCCAAATAAAAAGTACAACTAATAGGCTGTACTGAATAAAATGTATCACTGGCATAAGTGTGCTTTTATTTCAGCAGTTTTTAAGTGTTCAAATATACTGGATGTTTTGTTTTTATGTGTGAATTACCTCAAAAAGATGAGGTATAGGAAAATGTTGCAGGGAATGAAAAAATGAAACAGTTCTGCACAAAACGTATGTTGAAAGTATTGTGGCAGGCTGTTTTCATTTAGAGCAACTGGTGTAATTTCATGTGAGTTGTACGCCCTGGGCTGCTGAAAAACTTTTGCTGCCAGTGTAATGCTGCAGAGCCAGTGTGATTGCCACCTGTGTCTCATCAGCTCGGGCTAGCAGGGATGTTGTTTCCCTAACTGCAGCTGCTCCAGTCCCTTTGCCTTAGGATTAGGATGGGGGATGTGAGTCTTTAGAGGATATCCGGATGAGCGGGAAGGGAGTCGAAGTGCCCTGACTGTGGCTGCTGTTCCAGCCAGCCCACAGCCAGGAAGGCAGAGGGGTGCACCAGCAAGCCACCGATGCTGCCAAAGTGTCCTGGCCCCCCGGTCTGGCTCCAGTGCCTGCTTGGGCAGAGGCACTGCTGCCTGAGCCATTCTCACTCTGTTCATAGCACCTTTAAGATACGTCAGTAACATAAAAAGTTTGGGATTAGCCCAGCATTTATAACATTTTTCTTCTTTCTTCTGTTTAGGCTTATTATGCCCGTGATGCTCTAGCTAAGAATTTATACAGTCGACTGTTCTCTTGGCTTGTTACCAGAATCAATGAGAGCATTAAGGTATTGTTGTGCCTGTAAAAAAATCAATAGAAATCCTTTAAATTTAAGTGGACAGTAAAACTGTATTTGTCGATTTCATTTTTCCTGGTTGTACACTGTTACACATGGTACAAGTGGATAACTGTATCACAGCTCAACAAATTGCTGTCTGCTCTGTTTTTAAGCTTATGAAAATATTCACATTAAGCATATTTTGGGAAACCATACTTAACATTTTAGTTACAGAATTTGACAGCCTACTTATGAGATACATTAGTTTTATTGATTCCCAAGTATGAAATGTACAGATGATGGACTCAATGTTTAATTTTTCTTTTGTAAGGCACAGACAAAAGTGAGAAAGAAGGTAATGGGGGTGCTGGACATCTATGGCTTTGAAATTTTTGAGGTAAGACCTTTATAATAGTAAACATTTAATGTGAGAGCTGTTACTAAAGCTTAATACAGTAGTTCATGAATTTGTAATCAGAATACATGTAATTTGAATCGTGTGTCATTCCTGACAAAAAAACACTAGAAAAGTAAGCCAAAGAGAGATGTCTTAGCATGTCTGGCAATTGAAACAAAAATTTATGAAAGCCAAACTTACGTTTTTACACCATAGGTAATAAATATTTATGATGGGTAAACTAAGTATATTTTGTTGTGACATATGTTCTGAGCATAAGAGAAACTCTGGCAGTGTCATTTCTGCCCTGAGGCATTTTGTGGATGTCTTTGAACAAGCTCTGTATCCTTTAAAAAACACAACAAAAACTATACATTTTTTTTCCTGTCAAAATTAAACAAGGAATTATATTCCATTTATCTCGATTCACTTAAATAAATAATTCTGTACCAATTCCTAGCTAATGATCTGTGGCTCACTGCTGTTTGCTTATGATAGTATTTTTAGACTGGTGGTATTTTGAAACAAAAACAATCAACGAGGAGTTTTTAATTGGCTTAGAGAACACCAGGGAGAGGGAGTTTTTCTAAATGTTATTCTGACAGTTTATTTTAAGAGATTTATAGATCTTGGTTGGAATCTGTATAGTGTTTAAACTAGAAACTCAATTGGGGAGAAAAATCAGTAGAAAACATGCAATCCTTACCCACTTCCCTACATCTCTCTTGAAAATCCAGGGCGTGTGTTTAAACTGTGAAGGTGGGAATAATCCAGAAAAGAGTAATTATGCATGGGAGGGTGCTCTAAGTTTTATTTCAGAAGCATAACATCAAAGTATGTGCACATCAAAATACCTCTGTGAAGAGGAAAAACAAAGCTGACACTTGCTTCAAGGGTTTACTAAGCTAGGTTGTATTGTTTGCATTAAATATAGGAGCATATTTATGAAAATACATTGCAAGCGGTCAGGGGGCTGAACGGAGATCTCGGTTGCCGTATCTCTTGGAGCTGGTCCTTGGTGTACCTTTAGAAGGCTGGACACTGGAATGGTACTGCTGGCATCTTCAGGCAGGACTCTTGTTTCCACTAGCTCTTTCTTTTATGTTTGATTAAGGATAAACATGTAGGGTGAGGTGGGAGACAGAAGCTTGTACTAGCGCACAAGCCAACTGAGTAATTGTGTTTGTGGGATGGTGTTCCAGAGACAAGGTTGCTTCTTGCATGGAATTTCCTTTTTTTGTAGGAGTTCAACATCTTAGAAGCTCATAAGTAAGTAGTTGAGTACAGGAGATGTAGTTTTGCAGAAAAAAAAACCCCAACCAAGGCTCTTTTCACTTACTGTTCATACTGAATTACAATGTAGCTTTCCCAATTCATACAAACTCAAAAGCTTTAAAATAATATGGGTAGTTATTGTTCTCTCCTTTAAATGCTGAGTATTGGTTCTACTGGAAAAGGTGGGAAACGTTTGCCTTGTGACTTGAGGATCAAATTCATCAATACATTCATACAAGATGGGACTCTTCCTCTCTTGAGTTAAGACCTGTGGTGAGAGCACCAGCCAAACAGCTTGGTTTAGTGTCACAGAAATAATGGAGTTATTTCTGAACATTCAAAATGCGAGTCAGGAAGTATGCCAGAAACATACATGATTTGTACTATACCATATTTTAATTTAAAGATGCTTGAAAAAGAAACCTGATTGGTTTAGTTTTCTAGAGGTAGCTAGTACAGTTACTGGTATTGGGACTGCCTGGCAGTACTGTAATTCAAAGGGTGAATGATAGAGAAACAATCCATTGGAAAATCCTGAATCAGCTGTATTTCCCGTACCACCCGCTTAGCCATCCCTGTGTTTCCAGACAGGTTAGTTTTATAATCGGAAACTGCTGACTTATTCTCAATTGAATCAAAAGCAAAGATATTCTTTCAACGCAAAACACAATTAATTTTCTATGCAGCTCTAGTTGGAACAAAAGAGGATGTTATGTCATAATCCTTAAATTGAGTAAAGTAATTCTGTAATGAACACTGTATAGGCAAAGTGTAACTGGTGGTGTGGTTGCTTGAATGAATGTCATGTAGTAAGGTCAATTAAGAGGATGCTTCCCAATTATGTCTAGTTTTGTAACAAATGATCGAATCTCACAAAAATTATTAAAGATATTGAGAAAATGCTTACAAAATTATTGTTGAGAATTTAAGTAACCACTTCACAGAAAATATATTGTTTAAAGTTAATTATATTAAAACAATCAATAAATGAATGAAATTTTAACACGGTACAATACCATAACTCAAGGAAAATTCAATAATGTCTTAAGATTTATAGCATAGAAGGTGTAGTGGAATTTGGAGTGTTTTGCTGTGTGGTACGTTTGTAAACACAATGGCTAAACATTCAAAATATTAGCTGAGGTGTAGCTAATGGAAGTAACTCTATCCATCTAATTACACATTACTTAAAACGTCTGACTAAACATGTGCAGTTCCCTTTTGAACCGAATTCTTAAGTCAGATTTTGATTTTCATGTCTGTTCCTGCAGGTTAGAACTAACATGATCTCTACAAAAAATGTTTTTTGGCAAAAAAGTATTTGAAAGACTTCTTCATCTGTAAACTTGTGCATTTTAAACTTGTAAGCTCTTTGATATGCTGAAGGTAAAAAGGCCTACTTTAATCATGTTTCTACTCAGGAGGCAGATAGGTTTATCATTAGTGCATGTTCTTTGACCTAAAGTGTCCTTGTACCTTGGAGACAGAACATATCAAACACAGAAGGTGTAGTAGGAGTTTTTTATATACATGGTAAATATTTACACATGAAGTTTAATACTATTGAAATAAGTAGCAAGACAGGTGTTTACTGAAGGGTGATTTTTTTTTTTTTCCCCTTTAGTATTACGCTTACCCATCAGGATCGCTGAAAGAATAAACTAATGATATTCTAGTTTACCTGTTTTGTGCTAAGATTCTCACTTAAAAGTTATTGGAATACATTATAGAATAGTCTTCTTCCACTTCAAAAATATTGGTTTGCTACAGATTTTTGAGGTTTTTGTTTTGTTTCGTAGTAGGCAGGGCAGACAATATTTCTTCAGCCTTATTCTTCTTTAGAATGATTCCTTAGATCATCCTACAATTCCTCCTGTAAGAAGAGTAAAGAAATCCAGATTTACCATTCTGAAAGATCCTACACTTCGCCTTCTGATGACAATAGCAGTTTTGTTCTATTATATGCAAATTGAGGCTTATATAAATGAAATTTTTTTCATCTATTTCTACAATTTTCTGTAATTTAAGCTGAAGTTAACTTACAAAGTAACTGGAGGTTTCTTGAAACTTATCAAAGGAAAGATACTGGAGTATTGATAATGCTGGCATATACTCTTTGGGATTTGGTTTCCGCTAGTATTTTAATCAAACACAAACCCCATTTTTCAGACAAACCCAAAAGCTATCCAAGAAAGCAGATTTAAGGACTTGGCTCTCCAAAAATTCAGATTAGGGAATTTAAATCTGTCGATAATCCTCAGCCTCTGTGGGTTTGGCAGATGTCAACAGCAAGCTTGGCTAAACAATCCACAAAGTAGGTGCTGTGAAGCTGTGTTTATTTTTGAATCCTACCATGCCCTTTGTGGTAAGCTGTACGCTGGGACTGAAGGTTTTGAAAGCAAAATGCTGAAATTTTGGGGGTGTCTGTGTGAATTGTCTATGGGCAAGGATTTAGGGACTAGGATTACTGTGAAAATGCAGGCTACAGAACCAGGTTGGTTGTGTAACGCTGCTGGAGCTTGAGCAATGGATTGAAGCCCGACACTAATTGCTCCATGTATATTTATCCACATTTTTGAGCGGCTGCATGTGTAGTCAGTCTGCAGTTTAGCCTGTGATTTGAGATGGGGTAGGGATGATGGTTGGTGACACTGAGAATTTCAGAACCAGCTCAACTGCAGACTTCCTGGGGTAGGTTTAGGGCTGGTCCTGTTTTATTCCGTGTTTGATTCTGTATTTTTGGGCAGAAGTGGTTTTCGCAGCTCTACAAAGTGTTGGGGTAGGGTTGTGGAAGGGGTGGGGTTTATGAAAAAGAAATGAAGGCTGTAGAAGGCAGATGACTGAGGGCCTGGCAGGTTTCAACAGAGATGAGCAAAAGATTCATTCTGTTCGGTTTGGACGTTTAATTTTGTCGTGTACATTTCCTGTGTAGACGAGGACTGGGGTACGTAAAAATGAATGTCATGGAGCAAGTGTGAATATTTCATCCTGCCTAGCCATCAGAGATAAAAATGTCTGTCTGTGCTAGCTGGCTTAAAAGCTTTATTCTGAATTTTCAGGCGCCACTATGTAGCTGGTCCATACGACAAAGCTAATGATTTGGAGTGCAGTTTTATGAAAGTTAAGGCTGCCAAACAAGGCTTATTCTTGAAATTTGCCAGGCCCTGAAAAGGCAGTTTCAGAGTGTGAATGCTTGCTGCTCGATCCCTTGGCAGAGCAGTTTATTCCACGTATGGGATACTTCCTGATGAGAAGCAGGGATGTGCTGAGGATAGAGCTGCAAAAGTAAATGCTGCAGAAAGAGAGGGACTGTTTCCATTTGCCCCTCAGACATCTGCTAAGGTTGACCTGAGGTGATGTGAATGCCTTGTCTTTGGGGACAGCCTCTGACCAACTCCTTTTGCGCCAAGTACACAAGAACATGCAAAGACATGGCAGCATCCATCACAGTCTGTGTAAAACTCAGCAGTAAATAAAAATACCACAAACAAAAGAGCCAAACAAGCCACCCAGTGGTAAAACCAGGTCCATTTCTCACAGTCTGTGATGCACTTTGATAGTGCTTCTGTTTGTTTAGAGCAATAAGCTCATTTCTTGTGTGTAGAAGTCCCTTGTGGTGATGGAAAGAAGTTTGGTCATATTGCATGTACTACGTAAACTGTCATCTGGGCGTTTGTAAAATGCCAATATCTTGATTGAGGGAATCTGTTAGAAATATAAAGAAT